AGGTGGAAGGGACGGTAGCCAACCCGGGAAGAACCAGCAGCAAACCCGGGGAGGGCCGAGCAGACAAAAGAACAGCACAGGGTCCTGTGTCATTCCTCCACGAAGAGGGGGAGCGACATAATGGTGCTGTGACTTGGATAGGAAACCTAGGAGGGAAGAAGCGAGAAGAAGTGGGAAAATACCGGAGAGAGAGACTAGCAAAGAGCCTAGGGAAAAGCCGGACGGAAAAGGTGCTGGAAGAAGCTATCAAAAGCCTAGGCATAGACTCAGATACGGACTATGGGGGGAAGCTGGGAGAAGTCTCTAAGGTCGAAAGCGAAAGTGAAAGCTAGAACAAATAGACTCGGATACGGACTGTGGGGAGAAGCCAGGAGAAATGAGAGGGGAATATTGTTGGAAGAAAACTTAGGGAAACATACCGGGTAGAGAAAAATGTTAGGGAAAATGAGGCCGCTGCGGGGCAAGGCGCCGAGAAGCAGCCTCGGGGCAGGCGCCGGGATGCCACGGGGATAAGAGAAACGGAAGTTTAGAAGTAAAATGGGAGAAATAGGAATGCTGGCAGATAGAAGTAAAATGGGAGAAATAGGAATGCCCGGAGATAGAGAAATAGAGAAAAATAAGGCCTCCCCACAACACGGCAATGAGAGAGCTTGGATTCGGTCTGCTTGATTAGGGAGGCGGTGAGCACCTGCGGGCGGCAAGCAGCTTACCCGCTGCAAGTCACCGAAGACAGGCACGTTATCAACACCAATAAGTCTCCCCACAATACGGCAATGAGAAGGCTTGGATTCGGTTTGCCTGATTGGTAGGGCTTGTAAGCACCTGCAGGCAGTTCTTGCAGAGCAGAGCATGTGCTGCAGGGCACCGAACACAGGCACGCATCAGCGCCTAAAAACCTCCTCACAACATGGCGAAGAGAGGACCCGGATTCGGTTTGCCTGATTGATAGGGCTTGTAAGCACCTGTGGGCAACTCTAGCAAGCAGAGCAGAGTGTGTGCCGCGGGGCACCGAAGACAGGCGCAAATCAACGCCAAAAAATAAAAAGAAAGGGGGATCTGTGGGGAGCAACTGGGAGCAACTCGGACTAGACTAAGTTACTGGAATTAAGACTTATTCTATGCATCTGCTCTCCCACAATATGGCACTGGGAGAGGAGTAAGCTTCTACACAGCTGCCTCCAGTTCAACCAATAAACTGTAGGACCTGCTCCTGATTGGAGGAGAGCAGCATACTCGGCGTGTGGGTAGCAGAGTTGGGATTGGTGGAAGAGGACTATAAAGGAGGAGAGAGACAACATGCACCAGGAACATCTAAGAGGAACACCTGTGCAGCCCCCGAGAGAGCCGGCCGGCGGTGTGCCACTCCCCTGCGGAAGTGGGGAAAGTGGCTAGGGGGAACCGCCCTTCCACGGAGGTGGAAGGGTCGGTAGCCAACCTGGGAAGAACCAGCAGCAAACCCGGGGAGGGCCGAGCAAACGAAAGAACAGCGCAGGGTCCTGTGTCATTCCTCCACGAAGACGGGGAGCGACAATATGGGATGGGATGCCAGCACTGCAGGCAGTGGTTGCACCAGACCCCCATCTTAATTTTTATATTGATATACTTTCAGTTTACTTTATACTCATAAAATTAACTATACACTAAGTAAAATGTTCAACAAACAGAAAGAAAAAAAATAAAACACTGTCCCTCAACTATAGAGACAAGGGCTATAAATAATCATCAAATCTTAAAATGTCAATTTTACTCCTATACACTATATTTTCTTTTTTTTTAAAACTTATATGACAGATAAAGTTACAGACAGAGAGAGAAAGACAGAGAGAAAGGTCTTCCTTCCATTGGTTCACCACCCAAATGGCTGCTATGGCTGGCGCTGTGCTGATCCGAAGCCAGGAGCCAGGCGCTTCCTCCTGGTCTCCCATGTGGGTGCAGGGCCCAAGCACTTGTGCCATCCTCCACTGCCCTCCTGGGCCACAGCAGAGAGCTGGACTGGAAAAGGAGCAACCGGGACTAGAACCCGGAACCCATATGGGATGCTGGCACCACAGCTGAAGGATTAACCAAGTGAGCCACAGCACTGCCCCCCACTATATTTTCAGTACTTTATTAGTTACCCTAGATTAGGGAAAACCTATGATATTTGGATACACAAGACTCTCTGGGTTTGATCCCCATCATCCTGTAGTAGACATTATTGGTTTTGTGCTGCGCTGTATGCATTTCTCCTTCCTTATCCCATCCCAGTTTTTCTTTTAGGAAAGTGCTTCTTTGCCATTGGATATAGTTTGGTGGGACACTCAGTCAGATTGTCTGTCATTCTTTAGGCAAGGGATAAGCACATCTTGAAAACAAAACCAATAGAATGCTCTAGAACCTGAGCAGAGTGATCAAGAGAAATTGGTTAAAGTTGATTCATCCAACTGGTAACACCCAGTCTTGGTCATTCCCACTACAAGATTCTTTCTTGGTTTCCTGTTCTCCATCCCTTTGGAGCTTCCTAAATCATATCTATTTGGAAGCTTTTCCATCAATCCTGTGAGTGCTCAATATCCTTCCAAAATCTGCTTTTCATTTGTCAATTTGTGTCACTCTTCCCCTTTTTCACTTTGATCCAGTTATATAATTTTTTTCTTATTTTCTAAAAGGCCTTTGTACAAGCTAGGTTACTTTTGCTCAGAATGCTGTCCCCCTACCTACTTTAGTCAATTACTGAACCTAGAGCTATTAGCTCAAAGTTATTGACTTATTTCCAAGAGCAGCTCAAATCCTGTTGGGGCTCTTGCAGAATTATATTCTTCTTTTATTTTTTTATTTCTTTTTATTTCTTTTCTTTTTTTTTTTTGACAGGCAGAGTGGACAGTGAGAGAGAGAGACAGAGAGAAAGGTCTTCCTTTGCCGTTGGTTCACCCTCCAATGGCCGCCGCGGCCGGCGCACCGCGCTGATCCGATGGCAGGAGCCAGGAGCCAGGTACTTCTCCTGGTCTCCCATGGGGTGCAGGACCCAAGCACCTGGGCCATCCTCCACTGCACTCCCTGGCCACAGCAGAGGGCTGACCTGGAAGAGGGGCAACCGGGACAGAATCTGGCGCCCCAACCGGGACTAGAACCCGGTGTGCCGGCGCCTCTAGGCGAAGGATTAGCCTAGTGAGCCGCGGCGCCGGCCTTCTTCTTTTATTTTTTTAATTATTTAAAGATTTATTTATTTAATTGAAAGCCAGAGTTACAAAGAGGCAGAGGCAGAGGCAGAGGCAGAGGCAGAGGCAGGAGAAGGAGAAGTCTTCCATCTGCTGGTTCACTCCCCAGATGGCTGCAACAGCCGGAGTAGCACCAATAGAAGCCAGGAGCTTCTTTCGGGTCTCTCACGTGAGTGCAGGGGCCCAAGGACTTGGGCCATCTTCTACTGCTTTCCCAGGCCATAGCAGAGAGCTAGATCAAAAGTGGAGCAGCCGGAACTTGAACTGTCGCCCATATTGGATGCCAGCACTGCAGGCAGCGGCTTTACCCGCTATGCCACTGCATCGGCCCTGAATATATTCTTCTTTTATATAGCTCTTATCACAGTTGTTATTTTGTGTTGAATTTTGTGATACTTTGTCATCTCTCTTGCCTCTAAAATATTAACTCAAAGAAGGCAAGAATTGCATTGATATTATTTACTGAGTCAGCTTGGTATGGAAGCAGTGCCTATCACATATGAGGTTTTCAAAACAATTCTTTAAGTACACAAAAGCAAAACCTGTGTGGAAATTTAATCCAAAATCTGACACTTAAGCCAGTTCAAGCTTGCTGCCAGTAGAGTCAGGAAAATAGAGCCTACCTCTTCTACAACCAGAGGCACTTTAGTGGGAAAATATAAGACAAACTGAAACAGTATGTACTTACTTCAACAAGACAACTGCTTGGAGATAACTGTGGAAGTTGTATTTTTCATGCATTCATTTACTCATTCCTCTGTCTACTCATCCATGTAGTCAACAAAAATATATCATGAATCCAATTACTGATGCCAAAAAGAGAAATAAATAAGAAATATAAGCTTTGAATATTAAATATTTTTGTTACAAATATGACAGTTTGGCATAGCAAAAAAGAAGTTAACTAGTTATTTGGTGTACAAACAGCTACAATTTGATGTATAAATTGACTGATCTTTTTCTCCTATTGAGATGATTGACCTCATGTGGTCATCAAAATAACCTTCACTGGGTTGCTGTTTTTATTTTTACTTTTTAAGATGACTCTCTTAACTGTTTTCTCAGTATTATGGCTCTTTATCTCAGTGTTAGCAGAATCACTCCCAGCTTTCATTGCCTAGTATCCCCAAGTATCTCTAATTAACTTGTGGAACATTGTGGTGATTTTTACCATGTTCATGCTACAAAACTAATTTTCAATGGCTGTGTTTTTAAAAACCACATCTTTTGAGAGAGGAGATAAGTGGGGGCATCAAATAAAATAACAAGATAAGAATCTGTACTTTTAAAATTTGGAAATTACATTATCTTTTTAGAGTCAGCTTCCATCCATGACTTTTCTGTATTCTCTGTGTGTCTCTCAAAAAGGCATGGTCTGATTCTATCCATGAACAATGAACATGTTACTCTAATATTTCAGTTTCAAAAAAAATAAGTGATTTCTTCTTTGTTAATCACTTGCCCTACTTAATTCATTCATTATACTCAGAAGCTCTGAGATTAAGCCTCTAGGCTGAAGAGATTCATATGAATCCTTTCTTTTTTATCTATTCCAAGTCAGATTAAGTCTAGGTCCTGTTTAACGAGGTGCCACTTGCTGTGTTTTCATGCGGAAAGAATTCCTCATCCTCGGTGGTATGTATACACCAAATGAATTATCTCCTCTTATTTTGAATTTCCGACTACTGTTTCCTGTAGGAAAGACTATTATTATGAGCTCCATAGGGTATGGGCAGCTGGATTTCTTTGATTTGGATTCTTTCCTTTTCATCAAAGCCCTATATTGTTTTTCATTATATTTAGGGACTGTGAGATTATGAAGAACTTCCCAGAGACACTAGGAGCCATGTCATGATGGGCATGGAGATGAGGCAACACATGTAAGTATTGAGTCAAGTTATAGGGTTATGTAGGGCTCCCCACTATCCAGCTTTTTTCTATCCTTTTTAATATCATCTTCTTTCAAGCAAGCACAGCCACTTCATGTTTCTTCCCCAAATCCTAGTGTATGTGTGTGTGTTTGTGTGTGTGTGTCTGTCTGTCTGTCTATGTTTGTGTCCACATGTGCATTTTGTTGGGAGTGGTTTCCAATGTTTTTATTTTTCATATATGGTTGTGCACACAGACTCAATAATTGAATTTCTCCCTAAATGCAACCTAAACTTTCAAGATCCAGATTAAACATGCAGATTTGGGAATGTTTGCAATGTGGACCACATACTGTCAGACTAGTCCCAACTAAGATCAGTTACACATGAGAGTTGTCATCCTAGCAGTCTGGAAGTGTTTATTGCTGCTGCTGAAGTAAGAATACTGCTTCCGTGTGCCCTGCTTGGTTTATACTGTGATTTGGCAGACCACAGAAATGTTAGGATATAGTCACAGAGACAGAGAAAAGAAAACATATGGAGAGGGGGAGGTGAGGGAGAGGTAAAATGGTGAAGTGGTTCCCTTGGAAGGCAACAAGACACCAACAGTGCAAGGGAACATGATACCACACCCCCACCCCCACCCCCACCCACACACCAACAGCAACTTTCTTGGCCTACTGTAGACTATCTGGATCCACAGGTCTGTTTACTGGGGCAAATTAGTGTGCTAGGTAAGAACACACTAGTAATGAGGCCAGTGTCTTGGGTGATGTTATCTTAAGTTCCATTCATTTTTAGTGCCACTAATTATCAATAAGGAAATCCAAGATGTAGTATAAACAGCAAAGTACAGATTACTCCCAATAATTGCCAATCGAATGCAGCATCAGTTTACATATAATTCAAACCCATTTTAGCAAAATAAATGATTAAAAAAGTTAATTTTACCAAGTTTAATATTCTGCTAGTTTGGGGCTCTGTAACAACAGTATTTTACAGTAGTGCTTTGCAAACTTTTATATGCCATATAATAATTAGATTGTGATGATGTCTTTGTTGCTTCCTTGGGCAACCAGATGAGGCTACTCATGGATTGGAAGTGACAGGTTTATGACTGGCCCATATATCACCAATCCACCATCAGAACTTAAGGGATCAATATAGGGCACCCATGGTGGGCTCTGTACTAGAGTATTTCAATAAAATGGGATTTTACTATTTCATTTCAAATTTTTATATGAAGGAATACTCTGCCAACCATAGTTATCTACTTTAACTCCTAGATATGCATGTATGTATGTATCTATATTTCAGAAATACATTTATATTTCCCCCTTAAATAATTTCTCATCCAATTCTGTACTTCCAAGAGTGAGTCAAGAAGCTTATTGCTCTAAGGAAGGAAAGGGAAAAACCTGCCCAAAACAGATTGTTGGATTGTTGATCAACTTTAAGTCTTCAAATTGATTATTTTTAAGATTTACTTTATTTATTTGAAAGGAAGAGAGAGAAACAGAGAGAGAGAGAGAGAGAGAGAGAGAGAGAGAAAGAGAGAGAGAGGGGAAATCTTCCATCTTCTGGTTCTCTCCTCATATGGCCACAATAGCCAGAGTTGGGAATGATCTGGAGCCAGGAGTTTTTTCCAGGTCTCCCACCTGGATCCAGGGGCCCAAGTACTTGGGCCATTTTCCATTGCCTTCCCAGGCACAATAGCAGGGAGGTGGATCAGAAGCAAAGCATCTAGGACCGTGCCACAGGGCCAGCCCCAAAGACTGTTATCTTAAAAGCCAACTCTGTTAATGGATCAAATGATTTTCTAAACCTTTTTGATTCTCATTTAACATGAAAAAAATAGGGCATGGATGATAAGATCATGGAAGCTTATGATATTCTTAAAACAGAACTCAGGAAATGAAAGAACAGGTAGAAATTGTATTCCTTTTGGCCCTCATGGGTAGAGAAAAGAAGAGAGGAGAGAACAGTAGAAGGAAGAGTTCAAATGCTGGGGTCTTTGTTTTCCCTAGTCTTGTAATTCTTTGGGGAAGCATCAGGACTCTTGCAGAAAATCTACCCAGGGCCTTATCCAGTATGCTTCAGGAGCGATAGTGTAGCACTAGCAAAGTGATGCAATTGGGCATATTGTAGACGGCAATGCTTGATGATCCCCATGGACTGAATAAGCACAAGTTATATGTCAAACATGAAGAGCTGTCAATCCTGTGAAATGTTATACCATATAAGGTACCATCTTCATAGCAGACAGTCTCCAGTCTCTTTTTTTCTCTGTTAGGAAGAACCTGTCATGAACCTGCCAGAGAGAAACAAATGATGTCAACAACTGCATGATCTTGGAAGTGGATCCTTCTTAAAATGAGCTTTTTGATGAGAACCCAATCTTTACCCATGCCCTTCATTGCAGCCCTGTGAGACCCTGAACAAAATACCAAGTTAAGCTGTGCACAGATTTCTGACCTAAAAACTAAGGAAATAAATGCATGTTGTTGAAGCCACTAAGGTAATAACTTATTAAGCAGCATAAAAACAAATACATATAAGATTACATAAGACTCAGCCCCTTTATACCTATATATCATATTCAAGAATAGAAGAAGAGGAAGAAGAAATCTGTGATAGCATTTAGACACACAGACTGAATTTTAAAAAGAAAATTAAAATTGAAAGAGACTGGATTGGACTGAGTTTACTCAACTGCAGAAAAGTTTTTCTGACATCCTGGAGTATAGGGGACAGTCAGGCTCATGGGGGAGTTTTGATAAACTATAGAGAAATAAGGTATTTTTTTGTACATATGAGTCTAGTGGGAATAGATTAGTGATATATGGACACAGACTTCAGCCATAGTACCGTGGTTGTCTTGAAATTTATGTTTAGAGTTACTGGGGTTTGCAATCATTATTGGATCCAGAGTGTTCGTATCTATAGCACTTCTTTACTGTATCCTGATGTTAAATGGACCAATTTTTGAACATTAAAGAGGACTTAATAGATTAAAGAGTCCATTAAAGATCCTGTTTCTTTGACTACAGTTTAATAAAATGAATAAAGCCCAGTATCTATGGCTTTTGTGTATGTCTTTGGTGGGGGGAGGGGTTAGACTGTTCAGTATAATGAGCTCTCATTTGGAAATTGTATCTTCATTTGTAAGAAAGGTTAAGATAGGTATGGAGCATTAAAATGGCCCAGTTGATTAATTATACTTGGATGGAGTTCAGCTTTGTTTGTGACAATGCATCCAGGAAGTAGTAACCAGTGGCAGGGTTCAGCAGTCCTTCAGTTGTCATGTGTCTTATGTTGACAGTGTGAAATGAATCTTTGCCCTTTGACAGGGAAGCAGGCATACATCAAGTGCAAAGTCCAGGAGACTATTCATTTGGGGTTCCCTGACTGTACTTGGATCTCTCCATAAAGATAGGCTCTGATGGAGTTCGTTAGATTCTGGCAAAATTAAGGTTGGCACAGTGTTTGGCTTTCCTACTCAAATCTTCCAGAGGCAATCATTCCTGAATGGCAGCTCCTCATCAATTTATACCAGAATGGCACCCTTGCTGGATGCCAGATTCTGTGATTCCCTAACCCTTTGTTCCATGTGGGCAGGGCCCCCTGAATTCCAATCTATTTGGTGCCTGAAGAAATACTTGTCTCTGGACTCTTGAAGTGCTCATCCAGGATGCCTTTGAGTTCAAGGCTATTAAAATGTCTATGCACTAGGATAGTCAGAAGGAAACAAAAGGACATACTAGTATCCTTGCAGAAATGGATATAAAGATGGAGTAGAGGGAATTCATCTTGGTGGGTGAGGTCTTGGCAGTGGTCGCTTAAGCAGCTGGAAACTCCATGGATTTGGCAAGCCACTGGGGCTGCCCAGGACCTTAAGTACAACAACGCCTATAGAGCAAGGGAGAGGAGAAACCAAATCACTGATAGTGTCATGAGTTTCTTCCCCCTTCCAGTTCATTTTTAACAAAATCAGTCAACTAATCATTTGAATTTTCTCACATATGCACACATCACTAAGAAAGAAGGTATGGAGCACAATAGTTATGTTCTGAGTTACGCTATTACACAGATAGCTCTGAAGAACTATCAGTATGAGCAGTGTAGTGTATGGATAGTTATAATGTAAAGCTGCTAGTATCGTGTACCCATGAAGCCTATGTCATGAAGTAGAAAGAAAAAGAATTAATTATGTGCATATGGTACACATGTCCATAGGTGAGATAGTTTCCTTCTTTCTTTCTTCTTCTTTCCTTCCTTCCTTCTTCTTCCTTCTTTCCTTCTCCCCTTTCGGACAGGCAGAGTTAGACAGTGAGAGAGAGAGAGAGAGACAGAGAGAAAGGTCTTCCTTTTCCGTTGGTTCACCCCCCAAATGGCCGCTATGGCTGGAGTGCTGCACCAATCTGAAGGCAGGAGCCAGGTGCTTCTCCCGGTCTCCCATGCGGGTGCAGGGACCCACGCACTTGGGCCATTCTGCACTGCCTTCCCGGGCCACAGCAGAGAGCTGGACTGGAAGAGGATCAATCGGGACAGAATCTGGTGCCCCAACTGGGATTAGAACCTGGGGTGCTGGCGCCGCAGGCAGAGGATTAGCCAAGTGAGCCGCAGCAGTATATGTTCTCTTGAAACAGATATGGTTGTCTGTGTACTTTCCCATTCATATATGAGTAGAATTTTTATTGCTTAATCAATCCATATTTTTGAGAGGGATAGCAAACAGTTTGCTTTCCTCTGTATCTAGGGACTTTAGTGGTTGCACTGTGCAGGTGGCCTGCTTTGCACTTACTTCTGTAAGGAAAAAAAAGATAATGTTTCAGCTCCATAGTGGGCTATTATCAAATATTTTGAACTATAATCTTGTAATTGCTATTAATGTTGCATTAAAAGATTATTTAATGAAGGAAATCATGCTGGGAACAAGCATTATAATGGCTCCAAGCAGCCTACCTCCCACATACCTGGAAAATTCCCTACTGTTGTGGAACATGAAGATGAGCACTGCTTGCCAGTTCTAAACAATAGGCTTTGCCCCAGAATTGTCAAGACCTGTTGTTTTGGCATGCACGCATGTGCATGGATGCATGCGCATGCACACACACACATACTGACATAACTCAGAGACATGAATACAAATTTATTCTCATGGCTGAAGACAAATTGAAGAGAACTTTCTAACTTCAACTGCAGCATTTAGTCTGAGAAGGTAAGGGAAAGACATTGCATGGAGAAATTCTGTGGATCCTGTCCTCCTCCTTCAAGCATGTTTTAACTAGAAAACGATTTCTTGGGCCCCCTTTCCCATGAATTTCTAGGTGTAAATTCTTGTTAAGCCAGATTTTCAGAGGCTTGTGCCTGATTCTAGAGTAAAAGCCATGTTTGTACTGAGAAATTGGATGACAAAGTAAGGAAGCTATCTGATTACAAACTAGTATAGGTATTTCTTTGCACATAAATGGGGTTCTCTTTGGGGCAAAATAGTTATTTAGGACGTACATTTGATTAGTGCTTGTTTGGGAAAGCCACTTGAACATTCACCTATGCATATTAAGGATTCCTGTAGAGCAAACCAAGAGTTTGGTCTCTGTAAGCAAGCCCTCTGAACACAAAGAGTTTGAAGCCTTGCACACATCTCTCTGAAACATTTTACAATCTCAGCGCTGCTAAAGTTTGGGACTGGAAAACTCTGTTGTAAAGGGCTCTTATAGGACGTTGAATAACACCTCTGGCCTCTACCCTTAGATGCCAGTAGCATCCCCAGCCCCAGTCATCACAAATATGTCTCTAGACACTTCTAAATGTCCCGAGGTGGAATTCATTATCAGCAGGGAACCACTGCTCTAATGTTATCTTCCAATTCTATGTGGAAGCTGTCATTATTCTTCCCATTTTAAAGAGAGGGAAGCTGAGGCTCTGAGAGAGAGAATATACAGTTAATATATGGCAGAGTCCTCAGCTCTTTTCCCTCTGCTGACATCTTCAGCCTGTCAGTCAATAGGAACAACAGAGTAGACCTGACTGCTTTGGACCACTTTAGAAGTATGTTACTTCAAATGGTGAGGACTTTCTGTCCAATGGTTTTAAAGAGAGAACACTAGAATTAGAGCTAGAAGCCTGGGGAATTACCCCAGGATCCTTCACTTTACCTTCAGCAGTACATTTATCATCATCACTAGAATGGAAGAGAAGTCAGGTTTTGAGGATTATTTCCTTTTTAGAGATAGTCCTCATCATCTTTCTAGGTGTCTTCGATTCACCTAGAATCAAATTGAAATAAGAGGGATAAAGCAGCAGAAGGCTGAGGTGTGAACCTTTGGGCAATTTCTTGTCCTTTCTTGGACCTACTTTGGACATATGTGCAAGGAGAGCGGTTATGCCTGGTTATCTCAAAGGGCCATTTGCCTCTAACCTCTTATAAGACGGCTGAGCTAGTATTAACGGTAACATATATTAAATGTCCTTAGGACTCAACGTTATTGGCTTAATGGCTATGAATATGGTAAGTGGGTTGGGAAAGGCTTATAAAGAGCATCTCTGGAATAACTTCTTTCTGTAGACTTAGGACATAGGCACAGTCTTGTTCTAAGGCAATATGTGCAGAGAGAATAACTTGTCATTGCCTGTTTTTCTTGGTTTTAAAATCCACTGTCACCGTCCTGGGGAAACACCACTTATTTGGCATCATAAAAAGAATATAAAGACTTTTGCTCACAGTGTTATGGTTTTTATTAGGTTTCTGGGGAAAGAACAGCAGAGAATTCCTTATTATATATCTTCAGGTCAGAATTTTATTACTTTTGGCCAATGGCCATTGCTAGACTTATAGAGCAAAGGATAGATACAATGTGATTTTTAAAATAAATTATAAAGATCAAAAGAGAACTAAGATACAGTGAGATTCAGAGTGTAAGACTTGGCAACATTTTAATATTATTTTTATAAAAAGATTCAACATCATCCACTGTTTTAACTAGAGTCTACAATAGCCTATGCTTTGGTATTTGAAGAATGCAATGCAAATAATCACTTGGAAACATGCCACAAAAATGCCATAATTGGTTATAATTAGTCCCCAAAGTTTTGGGTTATTTTCAGAAGTGCATGACTTTGTGAGCAGCCCTGGACTTGGTCCACCGGTATAGTTTTCCCAGGCTAGGAAATTCTGGAGGAATCTGCTGTTAATCATGAAAGTGAATAGGCTTTTGAAATAGAATGCTGTATAGCGGTGGTCCTCCACCTTGAATGTACATTTGAACCTCCTGGGGGAGCTTTAGAAAATACTGTTCCTGAGATCCCACTACTTGGGATTCTGACACAGTTGGTCTGGTGTTTTGCTGGGCACTGGATTTTTTAAAGTCCTGTAGGCAATTTCAGTAAGCAGCCAAAATTAAGTACTGCACTGTAAACTTGTTTCTAAAAGATATTTTTTTAACTTTTATTTAATGAATATAAATTTCCAAAGTACAGCTTATGGATTACAATGACTTCCCCCCATAACGTCCCTCCCACCCGCAACCCTCCCCTTTCCCACTCCCTCTCCCCTTCCATTCACATCAAGATTCATTTTCAATTCTCTTTATATACAGAAGATCAGTTTAGCATGCATTAAGTAAAGATTTCAACAGTTTGCTCCCACATAGAAACATAAAGTGAAAAACACTGTTTGAGTACTAGTTATAGCATTAAATCTCAATGTACAGCACACTAAGGACAGAGATCCTACATGAGGAGTAAGTGCACAGTGACTCCTGTTGTTGACTTAACAAATTGACACTCTTGTTTATGGCATCAGTAATCACCCTAGGGTCTTGTCATGAGTTGCCAAGGCTATGGAAGCCCCCTGAGTTCACTGACTCTGATCATATTTAGACAAGGCCATGGTCAAAGTGGAAGTTCTCTCCTCCCTTCAGAGAAAGGTACCTCCTTCTTTGATGACCTGTTCTTTCCACTGGGGTCTCACTCGCAGAGATCTTTCATTTAGGTTTTTTTTTCCCCCAGAGTGTCTTGGCTTTCCATGCCTGAAATACTCTCATGGGCTTTTCAGACAGATCCGCGTGCCTTAAGGGCTGATTCTGAGGCCAGAGTGCTGTTTAGGACATCTGCCATTCTATGGGTCTGCTGTGTATCTCACTTCCCATGTGGGATCGTTCTCTCCATTTTTGATTCTATCAGCTAGTATTTGCAGACACTAGTCTTATTTATGTGATCCCTTTGACTCTTAGTCCTATCATTATGATCAATTGTGAACAGAAATTGATCACTGCGACTAGTGAGATGGCATTGGTACATGCCACCTCGATGGGATTGAATTGGAATCCCCTGGTATGTTTCTACCTCTACCGTTTGAGGTAAGTCAGCTTGAGCATGTCCCGAATTGCACATCTCTTCCCTCTCTTATTCCCACTCTTATATTTAACAGTAATCACTTTTCAATTAAGTTTCAGCACTTAAGAAGAATTGTGTGTTGATTACAGTATTCAACCAAAAGTATTAAGTAGAACAAACAAAAAAAATACTAAGAGGGATAACATATCAAGTTGCTCATCAAGGTGGCATGTACCAATGCCATCTCACTAGTCCCAGTGATCAATTTCTGTTCACAATTGATCATAATGATAGGGCTGAGAGTCAAAGGGATCACATAAACAAGACTAGTGTCTGCAAATACTAGCTGATAGAATAAAAAAGGGAGAGAACGATCCAACATGGGAAGTGAGATACACAGCAGACCCATAGAATGGCAGATGTCCTAAGCAGCACTCTGGCCTCAGAATCAGCCCTTAAGGCACGCGGATCTGTCTGAAAAGCCCATGAGAGTATTTCAGGCATGGAAAGCCAAGACACTCTGGGGGAAAAAAAAAACCTAAATGAAAGATCTCCACGAGTGAGATCCCAGTGGAAAGAATGGGTCATCAAAGTAGCAGGTACCTTTCTCTGAAGGGAGGAGAGAACTTCCACTTTGACCATGGCCTTGTCTAAATATGATCAGAGTCGGTGAACTCAGGGGGCTTCCATAGCCTTGGCAGCTCATGACAAGAGCCTAGGGTGATTACTGATGCCATA